TCTTTACCAGCGACTTCCCATTGGCGACAGAATCTGCTAACATAAGGGGTAGATATGGGGCGGAAACTTGATATTTGGCGGCGACAAAACAGACGAGATACTCGCGGCGATTCGAAACTTTACTGAGAATTATCAAGACCCAAAGGCAGCCATCATTGCAACTTCGGAGTTAACTGTATTGAACAGCGTCAATATCTGGATCTTCTTTCTGTTCTACGACGGACCACAGCCCCCATCTGGAGTATTTGACGAATTCTTGAACATCAAATCTTCGCTTAACACTTGTAAGACGAGGTCCTACACCGACTTGCTCAAAGCGAACAACGCCTTCGTCTTGAAAGGTAGTGTTTACACTATCGCTACGGAAACGACACCTCTTCCACCAGCTGCAGTAGGCGCAAAAGTGATGCGATCTTACTACGACCATTGGTACAAAACGTCAGCTGTAAAGTCAGGAATAGCCGGGATTATTGCCTCGATGGCTTTTCAACCCATACCAAAGTCACTAGCCCGGATCAGCCGAGAGAAAGGAGGCGATCTGCTGGATCTCGACGACGAGTTCGACAGAATCATCTTCGAGTTTGATTACTCCTATTTGTTCCGACTAGATGACGCTGCGGTTGATGATACAATGGTCAAATTATATACTGGTATGAAATCTCTTGTTGATGGATTTGTCCAAGATGGCACTCTTCCAGACGCATACAGGCCCCTGTTTATGAACGATGGATACTTTCGGCAGGACTACTGGGGAAGGTTGAAGTCAGAGAAGAGAGAGTTGGCGGGAAGAGTGCGGGCTTCGGTTGATCCGGAGGCCTTGTTCCAGAACAGAACCGGAGGGTTCAAACTCTTAGTCCAAACCATCCAGATTCCAAGTATGCAGACCGGAGTTTAGCCCGCGTACTTGAGTGACTAGCAAAGCTAGTCACTCAAATTGCGTATTGTTAAGCTGAACTTATGTACTCAAACCTATTTTTTGACAAGTGAATCATTGACACCTCATCGGGCGGGCTTCTCTTACGTCTTGACGTCTACTAGAATGGCAACATAAAGTATAGATAGACCAAGTGACCCTTCAAGAAGACGTTGGGTAGGCTAGGAAGTTACGTAAGAGCTCGTCGTCTTACGCCGAAATTTTTCTCTTGTGTGAAGCTCTTGCCTAAAGCAAATGTACATGTGGAAAACTGCTTGATGACCGAAGGTTTTGTTGCAAACTCTGCATGTTAATTTCCAAATGCAGTCATGGCCCCAGAGCCTCGTGCCATCGACTCAACCAGCCATTGTCAGGATAACGATAGCCTTAAAGGGTGTATCTAAACTCCTTGTTCATACGATCAGTTATATCGCTAAATTCGACATCCTTCAAGTGGCTGAGCTCTCCTGCCCGAACAAGGCCATCCCGTCGCTTGTTTTCCCAGAGATAATAATTCCTTAACATCAACGTGAACACCATCGCCAACCCACAGGTTACGATGATTGCTGTTTTGGCTGGGAGGTATCCGGGCGCAGACTCTGCCGTGAATGTCAAGGGCCCGATGATGTTCCCAACACAGAAACAGATGAGCAAAGTAGCGTTCATGGTGACCTAGGTTTACACGCATTAGGTCTGGACTAGAAAGGCTGTCGAAAGCGTCCCACGTACCTTCTTGGTGTGACCAGCATAGTTGGCGCCAACCAGAGAATACAACAAAGGCAAAGTTGCCCCAATGCAATTCGTCATATAGTTTCCAATCAGTTTGCCAGCTTTATTGTCCTCTGGGAGGAAAGCCATCAGCGCAGCTCCGATAACACCGGGTATCAGAAGGCAAATGATGTTGATAGCTCTTTGATTGAATCTCCCTGCCACGTTGGTAGCCGCCAGAATCGAGACGATACTGACTGCACCTGAAGGGATAGATAGAAGTGCAGTCTCCTGGGATGTGTACCCAAAGCCCTTGATGATGGTGGCCTGAAACGAGGAGACAGCTCCATTGGGCACATTTGAAGCGATGGTGATGAGCGCCAAAAGATAGGTCTGTGGGTCTGTGAAACACTCGATTGCTTGCTCGCGCTTGAATCGCTTGTTTTCGACGCCAGTTTGGTTGCTTCTTAATCGCTCGATAGCCCAGATCTTTTCCTCACGGGAGAGGAAGCGTGCGCTCATCGGATTATCCGGAAGAACTAGAATTACCGTGAGACCGATGGCAATGGTGATCAAGCCGCAGATGAGAAACATGATTTGCCATGAGGTAAAGCCGGAGCTGTGGTAGTGTTGAAAACCGAAAGAAATGAGGGAGCCGACGATGGTGCCGCCACCAGTGCCAAGATACCAGATACCCATCCTAGGAGGCTGTTCTTGACGTTTGTACCACTGTGGACAAAACATTAGGAAGATTCAAGGACGTGAAAATGAGACGAAGACTAACCATTGTCGTAATGACGATAAGTGAGGGAGCAACAGCACTCTCAAAAACGCCTAGAAGGACTCTCGTCACAACTAGCCCGGCCCAGTTGTGGCAGGCTGATGTGGTTGCTAACACCGTACCCCACATGCAAACCATGATCCCAATGTATTTTGCCGTTGGGAATCTCTGCATGCCCCAAGCGTGAGGGAACTCGAATGCTAGATAGCTCACGTAGAATATCATGGCCAATTGGGAGTACTGGTCGCCAGTGATATTGGTATCGCTCTGCAGTCCCATGACGTTCGCGTAGTTGATCAAGGTCTTGTCAAGATACTGAAGAATGTAACACGCAAACATGAGAGGAACGATTCGCCAGTCAATCTTGCGCTTCAAGAGACGCTCATCCTCCGCTGTCATGGGTGTGATGTCCCCACCGTCTCGAAGAAATTCCAGCGCAGCATCAGCGTTCTTGATGTCCTTGACCTCTCCGACTAATACTTCGGATTGACCACCACCAAAGCTTGGGGCCTTTTCGACATCGATCTTTCCGTCGGAGCTCATGGTGATGGCGTGAGGAGACTCGACTGAAACTTCAGGCCGTAATCATAGGTGGGACGAGTGACTCTGCCATCGTTATATGGGACTGCATGTCGGAGCCCCTCTACTGATATCACGGCTGTCTATGACGCACCTATATTTGATGGGTGTAAGGATCGCGTGGAGATATTAAGCATGTTGGAGAACATCCCCATTCTCTCCATCGATAAGTATGTGGCGATCGTCAGACCGTTGCTATTCAGGCGAATCAAATGCTGCGTTGCGCCGAGAACCATGCCATTGCAGGAAGGTGACTGGGGTCTTGGTTGGGCCCGGTAGTCGTTATCTCTCAGTCCGGAAAAGAAGAACCCGAAGATATTATCTTATTCCCGATCGCGGTGCGGCACAACACGTCTGGATGCCGATACAGCTATCCCACCATTATCTTGTTCGGCTGATAGCTCAGCACTGCAGTTGAGGGGTTGCGGAGAATGGTCGCTGTCGGCACTGAAAACCTAAAGCAGGAAGTGTTGTAGGAGCTTGCCGATGGCGGAACAACACAGTTGCTTGTGTGATGTGTCAAGCTTACTCGAGTCAATACTAGGAAAAGGCGACCAAGTCATGTTATCAGATAAGTCTTGGCGCCGAGTTGTTCTGCATGATGGTGATATCTTGAGATATGTTATCAGGCTGCAGGTGTAAGCATCAGAAGAGGCGGCATCCCACTTCTTGCTGATAAATGCTCAGTTGGCTTCACTCGAAAGTGAGTTAGTAAGGTATTGTATTGGACACTTCCCCACGTTGGTCCATGACACTACATGTACTTTATATACATCCGTCACACGTGGATCTGCTGATGATATAGATGCCGGGCATGCCCACTTGGTAATTGTTGGAGTAATCGCTCGCAAATTAGCAATGAATCCCAGCAATTATACTGGTAGTGATGTCTGCCGTGCATGGGTGTACTCGTACGTAATGCAGGCATCGAATCTCAACCGAAGTATTGAGTGGGATTTGCTACATGAGAGTGTACTGAAATCCTCAAGCAGACCATAACAACCGATAGAGTTCAAGCCTAGTAGATAGGTGCTTAAGTGATAAGTTTCTATTACATCATGGAATATTATCTGCTCTCTCTGCCCGTTGTATTTCGGACCTCTTTGAGCCTTGAGCACGCCTAGTCATTCAATATTACTTGCCTTAAGCCTAGACACCGGAATCATATTGATTCAAGTCAGACTGGACCACGTAGTTCATCCAGTTTGTGCAGGTCTGGTTCAGCACATCCGTGTCATAGTTGATCTCCGACTCTCGCTCAACGATTTGCACGGCAAAACCCTCCGAGGTGTGCCACGCAATGTGGCAGTGCATCAGCCAAGCCTAAATCACACGGCAGTCAGTGATCTGAAGATCTGGAAGCAACTTAATGTGATCGAAGAGGTACTTACACCAGGGTTGTTCGTCTTGAATGCGATGACCAAATATCCGCTGCCTGGCATCATTGCTACGTCTCTTCTGGGAGCGTTTACCAAGGTAAGACGATCAGTCTGAGTGCTGTCAAAGTTACCGTAACCAGAGTCCAGAACCCAGAAGTCGTGGCCATGAAGATGCATGGGATGGTCCTGAGCAAAAGGCGAGTGAATGACCATGTACACCCACTTGTCAGCATCAGGCAGGTGGATGACGTTTTGCTTGGTGAGCCAAGTCGAGTTCTTTTGCGAAATTTGCATAGCGGTGGGGTACTCCCATTGGGTATGCATGGAAGTCTTGTTCATCGTCCAGAGAAGGGCGTTGTCTGTAACTTCGACGGCAACCTTCTCATCTGCGCTGATGTAAGTGTCAGACGCATTGATGGCGAGGTAAGGCACAAGGTTGGAAGATGCCTCATCCAAGCATGAGTCAGTGTAACTGTAGGCCGATGTCGTGGGATCCAAGGTGGAAGAGCTGGAGTAACGAATGATGCCCTTGACATCGTCAACAGCATCAGACTCGGAGCAGGACTCTTGTGCAATGGATCGCAGCCAGAAGTCGCCGTCGGTCAAGTCCTTAGCCTCCACAATGATGTCGTAGCGCTGGCCCATACCGATGCTTAACTGGGTGGCGTTGTACGGGACGATGGGAACAAAATCTGTTGCGACAATCTCCATGGTGTGATTGTCGATCATGAAACGGAAGTGGTTATCTGCGGCGGCGTTGACGAGGCGAATGCGGTACCTAGTTCCAGGTTCGAAAATTGTTTCGAATCTAGAGCCCATGGTGTCATTGAAAGTGTTCGTACCGTTGATCAGACCGTTGACTGCTGTCGGGGGACCTCCCGTAGCAGCTTTGGTAACGAGTTCATCTGCCGTTTGCTGGGTAGAAAAGTCAATCAAAATTTCTTGAATCCTTGCCAAACAATCCAAGCATTCAACTCACGTGGTACCAGTCGTTGAGAAAGAGATGACCCAAGTCGACGTCGTAGTTTGCCGAAGCCGGTCCGTTGATAGTGATGCCACCAAAGACTCCATCCCAGGCTTGAACGTAGAAGTGAGAGTGATACCAACCGGTGCCGTACTCAACAGCTCGCCACTTGTAGGTGTAGGTGTCATTGGGGGCAATGGGGCACTGAGTGATACTAGGGACACCATCCATTTGATCGGTCCAGTTTTGTCTGATGCCATGGAAGTGAAGACCGGTACCGTTCGTCTGAAGCGAGTTGGTCAGGTGGACAACTGTCAAAAGTCATCGTAAGTTCCTCTAGTCAATAACAGGCTTGCGTCTCTGTAAGTAAGTACGTACCAACCGTGTCACCCCAGTCAGCAATAATGGTTGGGCCGGGGAATGATCCGTTGATGAGCTGCACTGGCATCTCATAGCCATCTGGAGCGGCGGTGCCATTCTCGACATTGAACCAATACTCTCTCACTACGCCTGTATCCGGGACTTCATCGTAGTAGTTTGTGGATAGGTCGAAGCCTTCAGTCCAGCAAGC